TATCTATCTATCTATCTATCTATCTATCTATCTATCTATCTATCTATCTATCACCTACCGTGCATACTATGTATAGTATTAATCGCATGATATCGATGGATACTAGTTAACAAGATAATCACCAATGTACACACCACAAACTGAAGCCTGTAATGATTTTGCTTTTGCATTATTTTGTCTTTGTTACTTTAAATGTATTTATTTAATGTAGTATATGTGTTATCAATACATACCATTTAACAAGTCAAACAATAATGGAGTCATATAAAGAAAAATTGATGTCCCTTTTGCTCAGTGTGCACAGACATGCGCACACACACATATGTACATATCCTTTCCTAAACTAGTACACCAGAGATGACCAATATCAGCAGTTTGGTATTTATTCTTGGACACCACCATTCATACTTCTAGAAGTAATGACAAGTGTGTGTGTGTGTATCTTCAATTTCAATAAAATGTGATTTTATATATGTTTAAATTCAAATTTTAATTGTGACAAATATTTATTGCATGAAATTTATGCCAACATTTAAAGTATTTACACCAGTCATCTTAACCTTTGGGTCTTATTATCCCTACTGAAAAGCTTTTGACTACGCATAAGGATTTGTTTCTGGGTATTCCACTCTGGTTGTCCATTTTTGTGTTAATGTCACACTATTTTGATCACTTTAGCTTTTAAATACATTTTGAAATTAGGAAGCTTACAAAACTAGTCTTTTTCTTTTAAACAAAAATATTTTATTTTTCATTCTGTGTATATGTGTTGGTATGTACCTTACATGGGGGTGCAGATGCCTGTGGAGGACAGAGGAGACGGATCCCCTTGGAGTTGGAGTTTCAGGCAGTTGTGAGCTGCTCAGTGTGTGTGCTGGGGGAAGCTTCTACAAAAGCAGCATTGAGATTTGGATAGGGATTGCACTAAATCTGTAGCTCTGTCAGTGCTATCATTATTTTCACAGTATAAGTTTTACAGTTCATGAACATGGGATATCTTTCCACTTATTTACATCTTTTAAAATTTGTCTCAGCAATCTTTTGCTATTTTTGCTGTCCAAATATTTTCCCTCAGTTAAATTGATCCCTTTAGAGTTTGTTTTTCTCCTGAGGCCACTGTAACTGTAATGCTTTCTGTAACTTCTTTTTCCTATGACTTACTTTTAGTATATAGAAATCCAAGTCTCTCTCTCTCTCTCTCTCTCTCTGTGTGTGTGTGTTGTTTGTGTGTTTGTATTGGTAGCTTTGCTAAATTCATTGGTTGGCCTTAACACTTCTTTTCTGTGTGGCTGTTTAGGTGTGTGTACAAGATTCTGCTGTCTTTGGGCAGAGATAATTTTACTTTTCCAATTTGGTTGACATTTATTTCTTTTCTTTACTCTACCTAGTACTTCTGGTAGTATGATGAGCAGCATACCAAAAGTTAACATTCTTGTCTTATTCCCAAGCTAATGGGAAAATCCATCAGGCTTTGGCTACTGAGTATGAGGTTAACTGTATTCTTTTAATTGACGACTTTTACTATATTGAGGTAGTTTCATTCTTTTCCTAGCTTATTGAGTTCTTTAAGTTAAAAGTTCCATTTGTGTATGTATCAGTGTATGCACTGGTGTGTGTGTGTGTGTGTGTGTGTGTGTGTGTGTGTATGTGGAGGGTCAAAGATTTCTTGCAGGGATCAGTTCTCTTCCATCATATGAGTTTCTGGGATCAAACTCAGGTTGTCTGCCTTGGAAGTAGCTTTTGCCCACTGAGCCATCTCCTTAGCCCTACTGAGAGCTTTTAAAATGTTTAAAGGGTTTTGAAGTTCATCAAAACTTTTTTTTGGGGGTGGGGTAGGGACCGTTGAGATAACCATGTATGTGTCCCCCTTTTTATCTGTTAAATAATGATTGCACTGATGTTTTTATATGCTGGACAATTCCTGCATTGTGAGATAAATTCTCACTTAATAATGCTTTTTGACCATTTTATTGTCCCATTGAATTGTTTGATAATATTTGACTTATTACTCTTGTATGAATATAGATCGGGAATATTATTCTGCGGTTTTCTTATTTGACTTTGCCATCAGACTGATGGGGGCTTCATAGACTGAGTTTGGAAGCATTTTCCCTCCTCTTCTATTTTTAACCCTAATTGCCAGGACAATAAACATTTTTTGGAGATATTTCTTGCGAATTTCCAGTAATTTTTCTATGTATTTGGTAGAATTTATCTGTGAACATATCTGGTCCTTGGGCTTCTTTGTTGAGAAGTTTTTGATTACAGATTTGGTGTCCTTTTTAGTTATAGTTGCGGTCAATTTTTCAAGTTTCTTATGACTGCGTGTTGATAAGTTGTATGTTTGTAGAATTTTTCTACAGATATGCTTGTATCTGGATATCATTTATCTACATTATTCAATTTCTTTATATGTGAGAAGGCCAGAGGTTGATACTAGATGTCGTCTCAATTGCTCTCCATTTCCTTGTTCTGAGACAGGGTGAGTAAGCTTGGAGCTTGCTGGTATTCATGGCCACGCTCAATTTTTTTTTCTTACATGGGTGCTGAGGGGCAAACTCAGGTTCTCATCCTTAAGTGACAAACATTTGACCAACTGATCCCAGGTTTTTAGTAGATCCTATATATAAAGCTCATTTTAAGAAGGAAATAATACTTCAGAGTGTGACAATAGCAGAGCTTATTTACTTATTTTTATAATTTGTCTTAATTTTTTGTTGTTTTTGTTTCTGTTTTTTCAAGACAGGGTTTCTCTGTGTAACAGCTCTGGCTGTCATGGAACTCACTCTGTAGACCAGGCTGGCCTCAAACACATAGAGGTTTGCCTACCTCTGCCTCCTGAGTCCTGGGATTGAAGGCATGCGCCACCACCACCAGACTAATTTTAATTTTTAAAACAAAAACATATTATACAATTTCCCCCTTCCATTTGTACTCCCTAGTCCTTCCCGTGTCACCCATCACTCTTTACTCCATCTCAAATTAGTGTCTTCTTTTTCTTTAATGATTATTGTTATGTGTAGATGGACATAAACCTATAGATACAGTCTTCTGAATCTGCTCAGTGCTGCATGTACGCACATGGTTTCAGAGCTGACCATTTGGTGTTGGATAACCAACTAAGAGCCTCATCCTTGAAGAAGTCTAATTCTCCTGCTCTCAGCATTCCTGGTTGTCTGTAGTTCTTTGTCCAGGGGTGGGGGAGGGTCCATGATTGTTCCTCTTTCCATGTTAGCTTGTCTATTGGTCTTGTCCCTGTTCTGGTCTGGTGTAGACAGCCATGCTATCGAGGTACCATGACCGATGCTCCCTTATCATTTCTAGGAGACAATCTCACAGCAGATTTCCTGGTCCCCTCTCCACATCCTCACCCACAGTTCCAGAACCTTAGATGCAGAAGTTCTGCTGTAGATGTAGCTATTGGGATAGGACACAACATGACCAGAGGTTCTTTGCATTTTGATTGGTTATAGTTTTCCGTAACGGTCTCCTTTTGTTGCAAAGAGAGGGACGTGAGCTACATTTATCTGTGGGTATAAGGGCAGATATTTATCATGCAGTTAGGAATTATGCGAGTTTAATAAAGTGACTGTAATTTCTTCTCTAAGATTTGTGACCTCAATAGGGATAAAACAAACAAACAAACAATAAAAGAATGACTGACAGTATGTGTTGGCCTGGGGTTGCAGTTCAGCTGGTAGGGGGCTTGCTGAGCATGGATGAAGCCTTGGGTCCAGTCCCCAGGGCTAAAGAACCAGATGTGGTGCACATACCTTTAATCTTAGCACTTGAGAGTGGAGGCAGGAGAATCAGAAGTTCAAGGTTACATAGTAAGATTGAGGCTAGCCAGGGTGTGTGAGACCCTGTTTTCAAACAAACAAACCCAAATGCAAAACAGTATGTGATAATGATGGAAGGTTGAATTTGCACCTTTGCACAAGTGTTTGTGTTTCATTTTCTTCTGTAAGCATTGAGCAGTTTATGTGATGAACCTGAAAGGAGTTGATAGTTAGAATTAAGGGGGCAGAAGGACAGACTGTGCCTCCATTTCTGCCTTGTCCGTAAAAGGCACCTTTGAATTAGAGTAGGTTGCTAACGAGTCTGTCAGGGAAGTGAACTCTTGGCTTAACCTTTACCCTTTGTTCACTCCTCCTATTTTTCTGAGTTTGTTACTCTTTGAATGCATAAATTTTGAAGGCAACTTGAGGGACTCTGTTCTTCTCCTTCCACCAGTGTTAACTCAGATGGTCAGTCTTGGCCACGAGCTCCTTACCACGGA